TTTCAAGTCCCTAGCGTGTGTATAAACATGTCTGAACATAAATGTAAGCTGGTCAAAAATCTGCCAACTTTACCACAAATTCCTAACAAAGAAAATACTTTAAAAGAGCATGTGCATCTATTTTGAATTAGCTTTTATTTTATTTTATTTTTTAAAATTTGGACACTGTTTAGTGAATTTATGAGCTCAGTTGTAAAAACCTGACTTGTTCTTGATGCTGATCCAGAAAAGGTTAGGGTTTGTTGAAGCATCGCAAGTATTTTATTTATTTATATATTTTTTGTCTTGTGATGCATGAAACAACTCCTGGATCAGAACATGAAGCAAAATAAATACATAAATAAATAAATAAATAGTAATAAGAATAGTTTAAATGTAGTCAAAATATGGTTGTCCTGAACTATAAATGAGGCAGTTTTAAAGTTCACGTCAGTTGTCATTGTTATAAAAAAATTAAGATATTGCTGTAACATCCCAACATTATATCAAACTCTTAAGGTGCCACCAGCGATATTCCTAAAATAGTGTACCCAACTGATAACCCAAATAATACAACCCTTTGCAGAGTAAAGTGCATCAAATGTCTAAAAGGTGTGTTGCAGCAATGCAAAGTCCAGTTCACAATTTAATATAAATGTTTGGCCAGTGGATTATTGTGTTAGGACTGGGTTGAGAAGGTGGGGGGTGGGGGGCATAGGGAATGAGCTGTTTGTTCCACAGCCTGTGGGCCAGGTTAGACGTTCTGGCATGGATGGATCTGTGCGTTCGTCCAGAGGGCAGTGGATAGAACAGATGGTGTGCTGGGTGTGATCAGTCGTGAATGATGTCGTGGGCTTGGCGCAGGCAGCGGGAAGTGAAGTTTGTGGTGAGCTCTGGAAGGCAGGACCCCACAGTTTGCCCTGCTGATTTGACAACCTTATTGAGCAGTTGTCCTCCAACGAGAGTCAGAGGTTTGACTCCACCAGTCGAAGTTTCCCTGAGCAAGACTCTTGGATGTGTTCCCCATCCGTCTAGTAATGCAGTCTAAAGCAGTGGTTTTCAAAGTGTGTGTGTGTGTGTGGGGGGGGGGTGCTGCAGACCCTTTGGGGGGTCTCCAGTGGGGCAGTAAGGGTGCCTCAGACAGCTGGAGGGAATTTGAAAAAAAATGTATCAAATTTTTTCAATCATTATCATAAAATCTAATCTTATTTTCAATCATTGTTTTCAAATATAATTTCTATTTATATAATATAGGTTTGATTTATTTGGTACTTTTCATCAACAGTTTATTGAAAATTGTTTTTTTTTCCCAGAGGAATATAAATGTTTTAAACATCCATCCATTTTCTGTACACGCTTCTTCCTTTTCAGGGTTGCGTGGGTCACTGGTGCCCATATCCAGCAGTCACGGTGCGAGGGGCGGGGTACACCCTGGACAGATCGCAAGTCCATCACAGGGCCACACATAGAGACAAACTAGACAAACAACCATTCACTCTCTCACACACACCTAGGGACAATTTAAAGTTATTAATTAACCTAACAGTCATGTTTTTGGTCTGTGGGAGGAAGCCGGAGTACCCGGAGAGAACCCACGCATGCACGGAGAGAACATGCAAACTCTACCCAGAAAGGTCCCCAGACCTGGATTTGAACCGGTGACCTTCTTGCTGAGAGGCATCAGCTCTACCAACTGAGCCACCGTGCCGCCCCATGTTTAAAACATGTTAATAAAATTATTTCACTAAACAAATGTAATAATTATTAAATAATGAATAAAAGTGAGGTAAAAACATTCTAAAAGTTGATATTTCTTAATATATTTTTGTAGCATTGTTTGTGAGTTTGTAAGGTACGGGCCCTCAGCCAGAAGCTAATACAGTTGGGGGGGGGGGGGGGGGGGGGTGTTAGAAAAACTTGGCAACCCCTGATCTAAAGCACTGATTAGTCTTTATAGAAGGACTCAAATAACAGATGTGTGGGATTTACTTAAACAAGTTATGTCAACTGGTTACATGCAACTGAAATGAGTAAATGTAAAGCAATTTTTTACATTTATTTTAAAAATTAATGTAAAGTCAGTTTGTTAATTACTCAATTCAGTTGAGTGGAACCAGTTGACATAATTTAAATAAATCCAACACATCTGCTTTTTTGAGTGTATTCAGGTAAACAAGACAACATGTTGATTTCTGAAGCACCGTCAGTAGTCTGGTTGGCTAGAAAGGAGTTCATTTACTCCAGAAGTTTTCCAAAATGTAGGTATACACTCAATGTATACAAACATTTTTACCTGCCTAATTTACTGAGCATGACGGAGCATATGTACTGTTTGTAACAGTACATCTAAACTCCAAAATGATTCTTGGACATCACCACAGTTGACATATTTAAGCATCTAAGTGCCTCTGTGCTTACAGTAATGTTATTAAATGAAATGCCTCAGCCCCAGAAGCAGAGAGTATTTTACTGTATGTACAGCAAGTGGTGTCTAACATTATTAATGAGATCCATTACCTCTCATTATTAATGTCCTGATGCATCTCAGTAATCCAGGTAGAAAAATCAAAATGAATCGTTTCGTCTCTCCTCAGAGAGACTTCTTCAGTCTGAGGAGTTTCAGGTGAACACAGCTTTATAAGCACTGCCTCCACATGGTGGACAAACAGGTTAGTTACACGCAAAAGAGGACCATCAGCCTAATGATAGGTCATTAGTGCCTTGATTAGCTCTATTGTTCATAGAGGGTCATGTGCCCCATCACCTTATTGGGGCCCTGATTCACACCTTTTACTCACAGGGGGCTGAGTCACACTTGCAATAACAGCATTGTAGAAGGAGGACAACTGGACACAAAGGCTTCCACCTCTGTTTAATGGTGGACCCAAACAGGATTCCAGACAAAAACCAGGTGAACATGAAGACCCTAAACCCAGACCCAAACCAGTCGTCATTCCGCATGTTGTGGGAGTTTCAGAGAAACTGAGACGTTCATTCTCTAAACATGACATCCCAGTGGCTTTCAAACCCCAAAACACATTACAAAAAAGATTAATTCACCCCAAAGATCCAGTTCCCTGGCAAAAACGGGGTATATGCTGTTAAGTGTCAGGAGGACATGATCAATCATACATTGGGGAAACAAAACAGCCACAGCACAGACAAGCTACATTGTCGGGTCAGGACTCTGCAGTTTGCGCTCATCTACAGGCCAGCGGTCACTCTTTCAGGGATGAAGATGTTCTCATCCTTAATAGAGAGGAACGTTGGTTTGAGAGAGGAGTAAATGAAGCCATCTTTGTGAAGAAAAACCGTCCATCATTAAACAGAGGTGGAAGCCTTCATGTCCAGTTGTCCTCCTCCTACAACGCTGTTATTGCAAGTATGACTCAGCCCCCTGTGAGCAAAAAGGTGTGAATCAGGGCCCCAATGATAGTCAGGTGATGGGGCGCATGACCCTTTATGAACAATAGTGCTAATTAAGGCACTAACTACCTATTGTTTGGCTGATGGCCCTCTTTTGATTGTGACCAACCTGTTTGACCACCATGTGGAGGCAGTGCTTATGAGGCTGGTATCACCTGAAACTCATCAGACTGAAGAAGTCTCTTGGAGGAGAGACAAAATGATTCATTAAAGAAGAATTAATTATGAGAGGTAATGAACAGTCATTCCCTGGCTTTACTCTCTCACCTTTCTGTCTTACCATTTAATCGTTTCAATTCATCTGCAGGCATGTCCTGCTCTGACAGCCGCAGCTTCACAGACAATATAACGCTTCTTTGTGTGAGTGTGCCAAAGATAGTTAAATCCATGATTTTACGGAACCCAGACAACATGTTCTGGAAATGTTATTTACTCAAGATAGAAACACGTAGTCCAAGAATGAATGGTCGTCAGGATTTATTTCAGATGCAAGACACAGATCATCATGTGACGCACAGCAGTGGTACATATACTGTATGTGTGCTGAGGCAGTCTCAAATACACTCATTTATACTGCATGTTTTCCAAACCAGACAATATCACCTCTCTTGGCCCCAATGCTTGGGCCAAGGAGAGCATGATATTTGATTAACTATCCAGCAAGAATGATTACTTCTAACAGATTTTGTCCTGATCTTAAAACATTTTGTCTGAGAGAAAACAGAAGATAAACAGTTAGGTCAATAAACCCTGCTGACCTTTAGGTCAGCAAAACAGGTCAGTGAAGCTATTTTTCCAATACAGTAGCACATTGTGGGACATATTTGCATCTTATTTGCCTGTTTCATCTGCAGCGTATCAGGGAAGGGGTCAGTGTGCTAAGCTCAACATTCTTTGGGATGCATAAAGGAATATTTTGTGTAGAAATAAAAGCATATGTTTTAAAAAATTTGAATTTTTTTACATAAACACACCAACTTTCAGCATGAAAGCCCTCTTTCATGAGGAAGACGAGAATAAACGCTTCTCTGAGGCAGAGAGATTATCAGCTTTGTCCGAACAACATCTTTCCAAGGTGAGGGAAGTCAGTTTAATATAAACTGCAGTTGTTTTCTTTCAGACAGAAGGATGCGTCTGTGCAAAGTTTATTTCATTTTTTTAATTATTATTTGAGTTTATTCTTTGTTGAAGAACATCTCATTAATTAAACTGATTCAGATTTTTTTCCCTCCAAAGATGCAGTGGAGTCTGTTGTTCATCTGTTTGATCGGTAAGTGGCTCATTTTATTTATGTGAACAAATCTCATTTATTATGAGGATTTTTTTTTTTGAAAGGTCAAAAAATAAATGTCCTGAAGACGAACTGAAACATAACCACTGAAAATCAGAATGAGGGAGGAAATTAAGCTGTTTAACATGTGTGTTCATGCTGACCGTAACTCTGACTTAACAAAAACAAAAGAAACATGACTTTTTTTATGAGTAATTCTCTGGCACTTCACAGGAAAGCTGCTCATAACTCAGCAGACAACAGGTACCAACAAATGTATCACTATTCAGTTTAAGATTTATTCAACCATGATGAAATATACAGCATGAAAGCACCAACATTACTTTGATGTTAATGTTCTGTTATTTTCATTTTTCATCTGCAGCTCGGTGCGGTGAAGAAAAAATTAATCTGAATGACAAAAAATCTTCTCAGTCTTCATGTTATACATACGAATCCCTCCAGTACATCTCTAACAGAGCTTATGATGGAAACACCTCAACATGTTCTCACACCCTAAAGCGGGATAACTCCTGGTGGAGAATTGACCTGCAGGGTGTTTACAGCATTTCCTCTATCTCCATATACAACACAAATCTGGATAATACTGACATATCAAATGCTCAGATCTACATCGGGTACTCTTTACCGGACAAAGAAACTGACAACAACCCGTAAGAACCTTGTGTTGCCCTAAACTGACTGTTTTCCACATTTTCAGACTGAAATAGACTGTTTATAGAATATATCTAACTGGTCTTTCAGAAGAACATTTAATAACAGTTATTAATCACTCACAAAGAAAGCAACTTTTTAATCACTTGTTTGATTTTGCCTTGTTTGCCAAATGTATACAGTGGGGGGAAATAATTGTTTTGTAAATTTGCCTTGTTACAAAGACATATAACAGGAAATCAAAACCTTATTATATTCACAGTATGTCACAGTGGCGTTAATTAAAATATATTCTGGGAGTCAGCCTTACAGATTAGCGTGCAGTAAGTGTTTCYGCTAACAAAATGCTTTTGTGAATCCACACAGTCTCCAGACAAGATTATGTACATTTTCAAGATTTCAACTCTAAAATTTGAGTTTATTTTCCTCTCCTGCACCTAAAATGAGAAAATAAAGAGGTTACTCTTAACCTTATCGTTTTCATTTTCAACATGTTAACATGAATTTTTGTTTTGTTCTTTCATCCAGGGTTGTCCGCATTGAAAAGTTTGAGAAAGACCAAATCAATGTGTACAATCTTTCCACACCGGTGTTGGGCCGCTACATCACTCTGATCAGAAATGGTTTCATGGTTTTATGTGAAGTGAACATCACCGGCACAAAAATAGGTAAATACAAAATAACCCGTGATAATTTAACTGAGATGATTTTGCAGATGGGTTCATACTAAAATATGTCTTTGACTTTTAATTGTGGCCCAAAAGGTTATGATAAATGGTCTTATATAGCACTTTATCAAGCCCCATTGGACCCCAAAGCACTTTACACTACAGACATTCACCCATTCATACACACATTCACACACTGTAGCCACAGCTTTAACATGTTCCTGTATATGTAAATAAAGTTTCTGCACCACTAGAAAATCATTGCTCTGCTATCAAACTACAATAGACTGTTCTGGTAGCTGGAGGGGACGTTTGGATTTAAAAAGACAGCCTTAAAACGAGTTGATCTGAGACACGCCTCAGAAAAAGAGGTGAAAGAGGAGCTTGAGGAGTTACAGTAAGGAGAAATTCTGACCAAAGTATTGCAGTTCCACTTTATATAGACCCCAACTGATTGATTTAAATGAGAAAAGAAGGATTTAAAAGTATGATATTTCTCYTTTAAAATAAATGTGAATGTATTTGTACAGTGCCCAAGATGGTGTTTGTTGTTTATATTGGTCTAACWATAAGTTTCAACGAATAACATTTTCATGCACATATATGTGAACACTTACATGCACACACACATACACAGACAAACCATCATCACCTGCTTTGAGCACACAAAACAGTATTTGTGTTGTCCTAACGCATTTGTGCGTAGAAATATGGGGTGCCGTTTGTAAAGTTACACAGTCAAAAACTACCACCAATATTTTGTTTTATTTAACCTTTTAAAAGAAAAAAAGAGCAGATTTATTTTTCAAAGTCAGTTTTTCACCATATGATTCATACATTTATA